TCGTTATCAAATATTTTCTTCATGCCTTAGTGCACTAGGCAATTATGCCCAATCCTGCTCGGATTAGTGATAAAACTAGCAAGAAGTGCTCTTTACAGAAGGTTTCAGTTTTTCCCTTCTGGCTGCTTTCACTATAGAAGCTTCCCTTCTTTTTGTAACTGGGGAGCTGCTGATTGGCTGTAGGGAGCTTTACAGCATATGACTGGGGCAATTTCACACACTGGCCCAGCAATGCACTTCCCTACTGTGTGGAAGGGTAATGTGAAATCATATGACTTTGCAATGCCTGGCTTGTACTGTCAGACCCATCTGGTAGCCAACACACATATTTAGGAGGCAGGTCTCTGCGAGGCCAAGCTACAGGCTCAGTGCCATGACCCTCAAGCAGTGGGAGCACTTCTTCCTTGTGGAGCAGGGCCTTGTCCTATCGTGCCTTTACTCCCCAAGCTCTCTCTTGGTTAACCTTCTCATTAGGACCATGTCAGACCCTCTTTTCTCTCCACAACTTCTCTAGTGGCTCTCTCCCACCCACGACATATATGGATATCCAAGACTCCGGTCTTGCTTGTTCCTTATTTACAAGTCCCCAGAGTATTAGTCTGATAGGTCTCCCTTAAGTGCACCTTGCTATAGCTGTCTCAGATTAGGGAAAAAAATCTTTTTCGCCAAGGCTTGCCTTCACACCAGCAATCACAGTCTCACCAGATCCTGCACTGATTTAATCGTTATCCCTTCAGCTAGAATTGCTAGTCTGTTGCTAGGACTGTCTGTGATTGCATCCTTGGCTTCCCCTCTTCCCATGGGGAACCAGGATGGAGTTTGGAACTGTTTGGTTTTTCTTTTTTGCCTTTCTGTATCTCCGTTTTCACTGTTCTACTACCTCTTTCAGATTTTCAGTGCTCTTTCTCTCTTTCAGAATGTAGTCTCTTTTTTGTTACCTTACTCATTTCAGAGTCAAATGCTGGATGCTTCGTAATCTGCCATCTGCCCCACCCTTTCATAATCACTTTAGTAGTGATACTGTTCAGTAGTATTAGTTTATCACATTGTCCTGCCACCTCTTTTCATTGTATACTCTATTCTCCCCTTTATTCTAAAACTGATGTGGTCCTTTAAAAAAAGACTTTGTAGGTTTACTTGTATGTTTATAATTCTGTCTGCATTTATGCAACAAGTCGACACTCTAAGATGCCCTTCTCTCCTTAGTTTCCTGTCGGGCTGACTTGCTTGATAAGACCATTTGCATACTTAGAAACCCTACCGTAATTATCAGGAGTTTCTCTGGGCTGCCCTTGCTACAAATTTGTCGGTTGGAAAGCGGTTATGATTCATCACGCTTCAATCATATGCATACTTCTTAAAGGGTTTACAGTCACACTCTGAGATACTTGCTCTTGAGTACCTTGGAATTTGATCTTTACCTTGAAGCATGTCGTTAATTTCAGAGTATTCTGAGCAGTCTGAGAATGAGAGAACAGTTTTCATTATTAGCAGGTTATTATTTCTTTAAATTTTGCTGAGACTGTAAACCCAGTTTTTTCTTCAGCTTCATCTTTCTTCTCTCACATTTTTATTCATATTGCAGAAGAAGAGGCCGGTAACACTTCATATTCTGCCTGGAATTTCTTTAAACTATGATACAAATTTTAAGTACCCATTTCCTATTTCCTTTTTATCACAGTAAGGGTTCACAGTACTTGCCCGAATCTTAAGCACCATACAAGAACTCTTTCTCTTAGGGTCTACTAACATGTGGTTCTACATTCTTGATCTTAAGCCCTCGTGTTAGCCTCTTGTAGTCCTGATTGAACACCAATACCATGTGTTTTCAATTTTGTCTATATACAGCACCACTTTCACTAATGAATTTGGTCTTTATTTCCTACCAGTTAAATAAAATCTATATAACTAGTGATATAAAGCATAATGATTTAATTTGTTTATAGATTCATAGTTCAAAAATTTTGGGAAGAGCACATCAGGGATGCTTCTCTGTAACATGATATCTGTAGTCTCTGTTAGTAGAAAACTTAAATGGCCTGGAGAGGAGGATCCACTTCTAAGATGCTTCTTCGTTTGTATCTCTTTACCTAAGGTGGGATGACTGAAAGTTATTTAATTCAGACTGTAGAGACAGTACTTATATGGCCTTTGTGTCTTTGGCTTCTTGCATAATTACTCTGAATCCTGAGAGGAGTGTCCTGAGCGCAGCCTCCTGAGAGAAAGCATTCCAGGAGGATCTATGACTTTTCTGATCTTGCCTCTGAAGTCCATAGCATTATTCCACTGAACTCTGTTGGTTGAAGTGGTCGGAAATATGTCCAGATTTAAGGGAAGAAGATTTAGGACTTAATTTTTATGGGAAAAGTATCAAAGAATTTAAAGTTCATGTTTTAAAATCAAGACAGGTTTGATAAAAATTAGTGATAAGCCAAGCATGGTGTATATCCTAGCTACTAAGGAGGCAGAGGTGGAAGATCACAGTTCCAGGCCAGCCTAGGCAAAAAGTCAGACCCTGTCTCAAAAACAAGCCAAGCATGGTGGTACATGCCTATTATCCCTGCTACTTGAAAAGGTTAGCTAGGAGGATTGTGGTCCAAGGTCAGCCCTGGAAAAGGCTCAGGACCTTATCTGAAAAACAAATAAAAAGCAAAAATGTTGGGGTATGGCCTGAGTAGTAGAGCACTTGTCTAGTAAGTGTGAAGCCCTGAGTTCAGCCCTTAGTACTGTAGTGAGAAAAAATTAGGGGTAGTACAGTATTTTGAGGTCTAATAACTTTTCTCTGCAATCCTCACATTCTGTATCCAGGAGTTATCCTTCCAAGATCAGTCTTAGAGGCTTCAAGATATTACTTTATTAAGGATAAGAATATTTCTGTTCAAAGGATATTATTTTTGCTTTCCTTTATTAATGGTCTTCATCTTCTTACTTTCTCTTCTTCCTCATGTTTTTTCTTTTTTCCTCCTCTTTCTTCTTTTTCTCTTCTTCCTTTCTCTACTTCTCTTTTTTCCCCCTTATCTTCTCCTATCAAGCAATGTGTACTGGACTCCCTTAGTATCTATTTCTATTTTGTTGGCATTTGGTTAAAGTTAAATCTAAAAGCAATCTGAAATCTTAACATATCTCAAGCTAAAGAACTCTGAAACAAGGACAAAAAAATAATAGAGAAAACAAATAGAATCAAAAGCTAGAATGAATGTGGCTGAGTGTTTTCTTTCCTGTGAGTGTACAGTATCAGTAAGAGTAAAGTTGAAGGAAATTCTCATAAAACAATATGTAGTCTGCTGTTCCAACCTCCAAGGAGATGAACTATGAGAAGTCATTTGGAACTCCCCAGGTTCCCAAGGGTAGCCAGTATACAGTATTTCTGGTACAAATGGGAGAAGGAAGTTGCTCTTTTTGCACAGATGTTCTTGTACTGTCAGTAGAGATCATTTAAAATGTGAACAGAATTGGGAGAGGTGTATTGGCCAGAAGATTGTGTCAGTATTCCTGAGTTTACAAAAACACAAACTTACAGTATTCCTTTCTCTTTTTTTGGCTGTACTGGAGTTTGAACTCAGGCCTTGTACTTGCTAGGCTGATGCTCTGCCACTTTGAGCCACACGCCTAGCCCTTTGTCCATTATTTTTCAGGTAGGATCTTCTTATTTTTGCCTTGGCCAGCCTGGATAGTAACCTTCTTTTGAAGAACTGAGATTATAGGTTGTGAGCCCCTGGGCTCAGCCTCCAATATTCCTTTATTGAGCTCTTAATAAAGTCAGTTGTTAGTCAAGCATGCTAATGGAGGCATATAGAGATGTAACTATTCAAAAAGTCATTGTTTCATTCTCTGTGGGGGTTATGCTTTGCATGCTTTATATTATTTGAGCCTTTACCAATCATAGTATAAAGATTAATCTAGAACCTATTATAGCAGGTAAGAGATCAGTTATCAGCTTGATATTTACCTTTAAACTGATAACCCATTCAGTGGGCAACGTCTTTACGAAAAATAAGGAGACTATGGAAATGAAGTAGATAAGTCAGGGTGGCTTATATGAAATTTAACAGAATATTTTACTATTTATTTTTGAGACAAAGTCTCACTATGTGGCCCAGATGTCCTGGAACTCATTCTTCCTGCCTTAGCCTCCCGATTGCTGGGACTATGGATATGTACCACCATGCCCAGCAAATAGGAGGTTTTTTTTTTTTTGCCTTGAAAGTCAGTATTTATTTTGGTATGATTATTTTATTTATTTATTATTTTTTATTTTTTTATTTTTTTCATTTTTTTTTATTTTTCATTTCTTTTATTATTCATATGTGCATACAAGGCTTGGTTCATTTCTCCCCCTGCCCCACCCCCTCCCTTACCACCCACTCCACCCCTCCTGCTCCCCCCCTCAATACCCAGCAGAAACTATTTTGCCCTTATCTCTAATTTTGTTGTAGAGAGAGTATAAGCAATAATAGGAAGGTTTTTAAATAGTACTTCTTATTAACTCAATAATGTTTTTCAGATTTAGTCACACAAAAATTTTGATATTTATGCAAAACTTATTGTCTTCAAATTTTCTGCCATGTGTTCTCATAACACTCATTATATGCCATACCATGTTACTTTAAGACATTAACGTAATTATTGACATTACCTGCTTTCTCTGTTAGATTGCAAACTCCAAGGGAACCTTAGTTCTACTTTATTTGCCTTTGTATCCTCAGGGCCTGTACATATTTGATGACACTAGGCTGAGAATTCTGTCCTTTACCTAGTCACTGACACTTCATGGCCTTGAAGGATTCCTTATTTTTGTAGTTGGCCATGCTTTAAACTCCAAGAATATGTTGTATATTCCTCTATTAGTACATATGTTGTTCTGTTGGAATTACTTGCTTGCTTACCTGCATGTGACAATAGACTGGGACCCCAAATGAGCAAAGACCATGTCCTACTCATCATCAATCCACCAGGCCTAGCACAATGCTTGGAATCCAACAAATGTGAGGTGGTTAAATGAATGAATGATTTTTTTCTGTTTTTCTTCTAGACAATAGACATGGCATCTAAGATCTTTTCTTTTTAATTCAAGCAGTTTAAGAGACACTTCTTGAGTGCAAAGTATAATAAAATTATCAGTTAAGCTTGTTAAGTATCTCTTTGTATTATTTTCATTAAATATTCATTTAAACCCTTTTATTTTATATGAGAATAAGTGAGATTTAGATATTCAGCATACTTAAGTAGTTAAGAGTAATAGTATTACTTGAAACATTTTAAGGCATTTATATAAATGTCTCAGGTTAGATGACCCATTAGAGATATTAAATTAAATTATTGTTTTTAAATTGCTGATGTGTAGCTTGTTGATGATGGGAATCCAACTGCAACCATTATAGAATTGTCTTAATAAATACTAAAAAGATATTCCCTCCTTTTGAAAATATTACTTTACATTTTCACAGAATAAATTATATAGTTCCCATTTTTTTAATGTAGGGTGCTTTCTTCCATCCTGTGTCATGCAATCTTTATCATCACATTAGGTGAGAATTACTGTACTCATTTTATAAATAAGAAACTGAGGATGAGAGGATGGATAATTCATTTGTCTGAGGTCATCAGCTTATAAGTAGCAGAGTTAGGGTTCAAGTCTAGATCTATCAGACCATAGTCTGTTGTTTTATGCAATATGCTTTTTTCCAGGATTTCAAAGTGAAATTTTATAATATAAAATATAATCTCATTAGCTACCACCTTAGAAAATGCATACTACTAAGGACATTCACAGACAATTTTCTACTTTTTTCTACATGTAGTTAGGGTTATCCAGAGAAATACAACCAATAGGGTATATATAGATACATAGAAAGAGATTTATTATGAAAAATTGACTAATGGAATAATAATCTACCCTCTACAAGCTGGGGGCTCAGGAAAGCCAGCAGTGTAGTTCCGGCCTAACTTCTAAGGCTCAAGAATTTAGGGGGCAGTGGTGTAAGAACTGGTCTGAGTCTGAAGGTCTGAGAGCCAGCTCTAATGTCTGAGGAAAAGAGAAGATAGATGTCCCAACTCAGGTAGAGAGAGCAAATTTGCCCTTCCACCATCTTTTTGTTCTGTTCAGATGGGATTGGATAATGCCACCCACACTGGTGAGGGCAATCTTCTTTTCTCAGTCTACCAAATCAAATGTTAATCTCTTTAGGAAACACACTCATATATACCCTGAAATAATGTTTTGTATCAGCTACATGGGCATCCCTTAGCCCAGTGAAGTTGACAGATAAAAGTAATCTTTTTGAAAGGCTCCAAATTTAATAACATCTTTATTAAGTTATAATTCACCACACAATTAACCTCTTTAAAGTATATAATTCGGTGGGTTTTAGTATGTTCATAGGATTGTTTAACCATTTTTAGAACAAATTCTCAATAAGTTTTGGAACATT